ATATGTGTTGACTGAATAACCTTAACTATAAGACAAGCATCTCTCAGCTTGGGTTTGTGGCTATGTTTTTAGGAGTAGTGAATCTATATCAGTGTTGGCTTCTGCATGTGTGTGAGTGTTTATCCAGCTTTGAGTAGATTATCCAATAGGGGTTTGAGGCTACAGATGAAAAAAAAAAGCAATAATGCATCCTAATTCATAGCATTGGAAAACAAGAAAGAGAACCAAGGGAAACTACCAGGTCACCAGAGCTAAAACTTTTATTTAGAAGATACTCAAAAATATTTGTCAAATAAATTAATCAGCTAAACCAAAGCTCCAGTTGGAATGTGTCACCTGCTCGCCCTAAAACTCTTCCATTCAGTCATGTGCTTTGGGTGATCAGGCTCCTGACCAGGTACCTCACAGAGAAAGTCAGAGAGATATTTGTCCTTCTTTTGTCTGCTGGTCTGTATTCTCAGCCCTGTGGATGAAATCCTCCTCTTCCTGTTCCTCCCCTTTGGCTTCAAGCATCAAGTATGCCAGTTCCCAGGCCATGAGAAGTTTGCTGGCCCATATATTTTTTGTCAGTGGACTCTTCTAGTAATGGTCCCAGAGCAAAGAGGGACTGGGAAAGGGGCTGGGCCATTCTGAGATGGCAGAACACCATGAGCTAGTAGTGATACCACCAGCACTTTCTCCCCTCTAAGTCTGAGCTGTACTAGGACACCTTTGGAATTTTCTGGAGATAGGATTGTAGTTTACTATGCTTTAAGTACTGATTCTAGGGAAAAGATATTGGCAGTTCCTTTACGAAGCTTGAATTTTTTTCTTACATCAGTTGAAACATAAGGAATGTCAAAAACCCAAAACTTTTGAAACTGTTTACTGAACATCGAATATGCGTTGTTCCTTTATGAAATGCTAAACCCAAAGTAGAAGACACACACACACACACATGCACAGTGCTTCTAGTTTAGTAGTTTGAGGTTTTCTTTCCTTTTTTCTTTTCAAAGAACTAAAAACACATTAAACTCATATCTTTTCTTAGCCCCCCAGAGTGGTGACTTTGTATTCTCTGAAGTAGGTTTTGGCTTACCACAGCTTAACAGGAAAAGAGCTCTATTGTGGGGGCATCTTTCTGAGAGTGACTCATTTGAAATGATAGCTCATCAGAAGAAGAGAATTGGAGAGCAAACCCTGGCCCCTCAAAGCCAGAGTAGCAGCTTTCGTTAGTGGGTTAAGCCCTAGACGTTCCCTGGTCCTTCTCTAAGGAGGAGTGGGGGCCACATGTTAAATTACCATTTTCAAAGGGGTCTGGGTAAGTTCTGGTGTTAGTAGAGATAAATTTTTACTTTGAGTGGTTTTTTTTTTTCTTTCTCAAGTTTTTGGATCATCCAAAGACAGAATGAGGTAATTCTAGAAAAGGGGAATCAGAGTCCTATTCCTCATGGTGTTCAGACTCAGAAATGAACCCTATTCAGAAACAATATAGCCACTGATGGTGCCAGGGACCTTTAGGATTTACCCAGAAGCCAACCTGCCTTGGCAATGCAGGTAGCTAAGTGGGTACTCTGTCCTCACAGCCCACCCAGAAGGTGGGAGAGCATCACCTCCGTGATGATTTTCTCACTTTTGTCAAAGCTTCCCCTTTACTGGGAAAATTTCTCCAGATTTCTGGTAAATCACCAGAAAAAGGGCAATGCTGATGTTCCCCTGCCCCATTGGGAGGTGCCTGCAGCTCTGCTGGGTCGCCCTGCCTTCTGATTCTCAACAGAATGACACGAGCCTCCATCTCACATTCTGTAGGAAGTCTAGTCTTCCCTCCAAGTTTTCTAGGAATCTAAGGGGAGACCCTCACTCCCTTGGGCAGTCACAGTGTCACAGATTTCCTGGCTGTGCTTGGATTCTGGCAGTGGATGTGCCC